TTTTCTTTAGGTCACGAGCAGTTGTCCAAGCATTTCACTGCATATCGTACTGTGTATGACTGTGTACGTGACAAATAAAATTTGAATTTGAATTTGAATTTGAATTTTGAATTTGAATTTAAACTTATGCCTATAGTTCTTTGGTTAATCATATATTTTCATTATGGAAAAAATAACAGTTGTGGTGTGAGGGTGTGAAAACCGAGACAGACCTACAACATCCAGAGCGTAGAGGAACTTAGGGCAAAACTCGTCCACCAGGTCTGCCCAGCATCCTCCCTTGCCACCTGATCAAACTCACCACATTGAAAATTAATAGGTAATAACTTGCTATTTCCAGATTGTTCTCTTCTGTTTCCACCGCAATATTACTGAGCTGTGATATAATGTGCAACCAATATTTTACCTAATTACAAATGTTACCTCTGCTGTATGCCATTCAAAGTGGTTCTTGGAGATGTGCAGTTCTTGCTCAGAATATTCTCCCACAGTTCTGATATCCACTTGAGATGAGTTTGTCCAGACCCACTGAATGACATCGTATCCTATGTTCGGGTTGCCATATTGGTCGAATTCCAGATGTGTGCTATTTATGTTAATAGAAGTCTTCCTTAAAGCTTCCAACAGCTGCAAAATGAAATGATTGTTGGTATTATTGATAAGTTTGATTCTAAATTGTGTACAGTGGTCTTTATAATAGAAAGAAATGAAATCACCTTCCAGGGATAGATTTTGCTTCTAGATCCCCACTGACAGGCAGTTAAATTGCACTCCAGCAGGTTATGCAGTGCCTGTGCTACACTATAGACAGCGGCATACACACTGAAAGCTGATTTCTGCACTGCAGGTGCTTCTACCAGGGTAATATTATCTGGTGACAAGTTCCAGCATTGTGGGCAGGGATTGTTAGTATTGTAAAGATTTGTGGCTGGAGTGGATGTCTTTGTCCGCTCTTCACTGAGTTTCTTGAAAAGCTCCATTGCATAATCGGTGAACAGGCCGAGGGTGTCTGTTTTGTCAATGAATGCAATGATTGTACCAACTGTTTCAATGTCAGGCAGAGAAGTCACTTGAGCATCGATGGCCCAGCTTGTGGTGCCAATCCATACAGCTGTTAAATTACTCCTGATAACCTGGAATAAATTGGATTTGTTTACCAGTACTGAACAAACACTAATAGAAATGAATAGAAATGAATACATTTCTGAGTTACTTTAAATCTCTGTTTCAC